AAATTTATGAATATGATATTGTGACAAAGTTGAGGATTACTTTTTAATACATTAGAAGCAATAAAACTACAACTGAAAAGCTTAAAATACAGCTAGCCCTATTAAGCTTAAAAGTTATTAAATTTCAGAGCAAGAAACTTTATGATGAAAAAAATTTAAAAATGGAAGATGTTAGGGATAATTCCTCAAAATCTAGCATTAATGGCCTCTTATTCTTTAGCATTTAAAGTACCAATTATCCATACTATTTCTGACAAAACAGAAATGTCTTCATTTGCTGGTTCTTCCTGTGTGACTAAGAACCCTAAATATCAAACATAAAACAAATATCAGAAGCCTCTGAAAAACTAGAGAGAAAAAAGAAATACAGGTAGAGAATTCAGGCCCTAGGAATGACATGCATTTCCATTTCTCTTACATACTCCAGAGAGGGTTCTTGAGAAGACAGCCATCAGAAGTGTCAATAAATACTCGAAGGGAAGTCTCCAGGGAAACCTCCTCTTTCTCGACAGATGATGAAGAAAATGGCAGCCTCCCAAGACAGAACAATTTCAGATAGTAACTCTTCTCCTCCAAAGAAATTCCACAAAAAAGATGTGGCTCTCCACCACCCACATATGAGGAGTCACTAAAACAATCCCATAGTATGTCATTGCTAGCACTATTGAAGTTCTCTGTCCAGCTGCTGGGTGGTTTCAGTGGGCTAACTGGGCGGTCCTGAGCTGTGTTGCCTTCTAAGTAATAACAAGCTAAGTCTTTTGGAATCAGTGGAGCCCATGAAGACGCTACTCTCATCAAGTTGTAGTAAAAGCAGAGGAAGCCTAGTAAAGCTGGGCCTTCACCAGTACTGGGCCTTCACCAGTACTCGGGGCTAACACAGCAATGTGTAATTAGAGCAGAGGGTGTGTGTGAAATGGCAAAGCACCTGTCAAGTGCAGGATGGGGTGCTAGCAGCAGAGGTCTGGAGGGCCAGCCAGAACACCCACACCTGGTTCACAGTGAAAAGAAACTCTTCTCTCTCCAATGGATGTCGACAGAGACTACCAGGAAGATATGAACTTAAGCTGCTGCCTGGAAGTAATTATGATGTAGGTCTTAAAACCTATTAGGCAACAAATTCAGGTGTCAATAGAAAACTAGTTATCATACAAAGAACCGAGATCTCAAACTGAATAAGAAATGACCTTCCCCATGCACCAACACCTCTGTAACCACATCACAGTTATCTGATGAGCAGTTCAAAGCAGTCACGATGCACATGCAACAGAAAGTCAAAGACATAAGAAGATGAAGAAATACTTTGCAAAGATTTAAACAGAAAATTTAAGAAATCAAGTGGAATTTAACCAAAAGTTAAAGTTTTAACCAAATCTTAAGTTTTTCACTTAAGATTTAACCAAAAGATTAAATCTTAAGTGAAAAACTCAGTGAATCTCAATAACTGGAGAGAAAAATGGAAAAAAAAAGTAATCAAGAAGAAAAGCACTAGAAATCACTCAGTTTGAGCAGGAGATAAAATTAAATTAACAAAAGGGTGATGGAAATGTATGAAATTAACTTTGGTGATGATCACACCAGGCAGAAAGTATACTAAAATTCTTTGGATTTGATGCTTTAAATGCTAAATTATAGTATTACATGTAGTGATTTATCAATAAAGTTTTTTTAAAAATTCCACTGAAGAAATTCCAATTTCATGGAGAAAGAGACACAAAAGCACTTTCTAAACATGCCCGGGAAGTTCAATATCTTGATTAAGAGGCAGTTCTGATGTGTGCAGATATTAATCAAAATTAATTAAGCCAAGCATTTAAAATGTATGTACTTTCTCTTTAACAATGGCACCTAAGAACATGTTATTGTAAGAACTTATTACATAATATCAAATTTCTTAACAAGATGTTTTCAGCAATTTGCAGTCATATAAAGGATGTATTAAAATTAAGGTGCTTTTCATCTTTCCAACTATAAATAGTGATAATTTTGTAGCTAAATAAACCACATTACAGCTTTAACTATCAATATTTTATTGTTAAATGGTACTAGAAAAAACTAGATAGTCACTTTCAGAAGAATTAAATTAGACCCATATCTCTCATCCTGCACAAAAATCAATTCAAACTTGGTCAAAGACCTTAATTGAAAATAGGGAATGCTGAACTTGCTAAAGGAAAACACGGAGAATACACTTCACGTCAAGATGTACATATAGACAAGAGCTTTCTGACTAGGACCCCAATATCAGAAGAAATATTCCCAAATATTAACACATGGGACGACATGAAATTTAAGAAGTTTTATATAGCAAACTGAACGGATGGCTTCAGAATGGGTGAAAATATTTGCTAGCTTATCCTGCCAACAGAGGACTGATTGATGTCTACAAAGCATAAACAACTGTAAAAATGAAATTCCAAAAATAAAATGTGCCATCAACAAGTGAGCTAATGAACCATTTTCAAAAGAAGAAAGGCAAATGGCAGTATTTTTAAGATGTTTAATATCTTTAGCCATCATGGAAATGCAAATTGAAACTACTCTGAGATTCCATATCACCCCAGTTAAACGGTATCAAGAAAAGAAACAAATACTAGACAGATGTGTGAAGTGGAGGAGCCCTTGTTCACTGCTGGTAGGAAAGCAACTTAGTAAAGCGACCATAAAGAGCAGTGTGGATGCTTCAAAGTGTTAAAAACAGAACTTCCATATGGCCAAGATATACCACCCCTGGGCATATGCCCAAGCGCTCATCCTATTACAGAGATTCTTCCACAGCCATGTTTATCACTATTCTTTTTTATAATAACAAAGAAATAGCTGTCCAAGAACATATGAATGGATAGTGTAAATGTAGTCTGTACACACAATAAAGTTTATTAAGTTAAAAAGAAAAGTGAAATTATGAAATTTCTGTGAAAATGTAAAGAACTGGAAAACATTATAGTAAGTGATGTAATCCAGGCTCCAAATGACAAATACCAGACTTTATCTCTCTCATATGTAGATCCTCGCCTCTAACTGCTGACTATGTGTCTCAGGTGGGGAAATCAGAGCCTGGAGAAAAGAGCCCTGAATGGAGGGCACAGGAAGACACGAGCCCAAAGTGAAAGGGACCCTGGGGATGAAGAGTATAGTAAAGAAGAGGGTGGAGGACGACAGAGGACGGGCAAGAATAACAACCACAATGAAGTGCATATGCAAATTGCACTGGGAACCTAATTTGTAGGACAATTTAAAAATAAAAATGCAATATTGTTTAAAAAGAAAATACAGAAAAAATGTTAAAGTGATTTTTCATTTTTTGTTTGCTGATTTATTGTTGTTGTTTAGATCCACACGCTTAACTAATTATTTCTATGGCACATACTCATTGGGTTTCTGTTTTGTTGACATGTCCTTGACTTTTTCTCCTCTTTCATATGTCTTACAAATTTTTCTAAGAGCTGAGTCTGTCCTCTCTAGTGTTAGGGAAGTGAAAATATTTAACCATAGAGTTTGTGAAGGTATTTTTGTCTTTAAAAATGTTTATTTAATACAGAGTTAAATTTTCTCTTGCATTTCTTGAGTGCTCTTAAGAGAATAAGCACAGGTAGTATAAGATGGAAATTCAACTTAGCATCCTCTATATAGTTGAACCAATGTTGTCGCATTTATTTGTGTGTGTCGGGGTGGGTGGGTATGGTGTAATGCTGGGTATGATGTAATGCTGTGTGCTGTGATGCATGTGTGTGAGGGTGAGTGCATGCCACAGTGGCCCACGTGTGGAGGTCAGAGGATAAGCTGCACCAGCACGGTCTGTCTGCCTGTCCTTCCTTCACGGGATGGTATTCAGGTTGTTTGTCTTGGGAGCAAGCACACTCACCTGCTGCACCACCATCCCACTGGCACGGTTCAGCTCATTCCATTTTGTCATTCATGCACAGGAACTACTTTTAGAGCTTTTCTCTGTCTCATTAATCATTTTTCTAGTTTCACACCACTTATAGACTACCTTACAACATTTTAATAAATTGATGTGTAAAAGAACACAGTTATAAACGAAATGCTTAGTCTAATTTGAATTCCTACTGAACTATAAGATAAAATCATGGTGTTTTTTTCAGAAAATACATAAAGGTAAAGGCTTTTCATCTTAAAATTATTTAGGTGTTTTCATATCATGTCAATTTATTGTGTTAAAGGTGAAAATTATTTTTCATTTGCTATTAACAGCACATTCTTTTCCATACTTGTTCTCCATTTATACAAATGACAAATGTCTAGGGTGGCACTGCATGTTAAAAAATTAGTTTCCCTTTCATTTTCCTTATTTATTTGCTTTGGTTTGGAGACAGAGTCTCAATCTAAAGCCAGGACTGGACTCTAATTTATGGCAATCCATCTGCCTTAGTATCCTAAATGCTGGGCTGATGGGCAAGAACCACAGTACCCACCCTCATTTTCATTTTGTATAGATATTCGCTGTTTTTAAACTTGACTCCTCAGAGTTGCAAATATGAAATCAGGAAGTTTAGAGCAACAATGCTTTCTATGGCTCTTTGCTCTATTTTCAAGATTCTGATATCTAGAATGGTCATTCTTTTTGACCATCTAAGCCTTTGCTTTGTAGCCATTAATTAGGTACTAAGTGGTTAGTAGAATGAGACCTGGATGAATTCCAGAGAATTCCAAACCAGATATCTTTTTTTTTTTTTTTGGACATGGTATTACTTTGTAGACCAAGCTGGTTCAAACTCTACCCTTCCAAGTGCTAGGATTACAGGCATGTGTCATACCTAGTGTAGACCATATTTGATGTGACTACTTGCTTTGTTTGAATGCTTTCACAGACTTGAAAGAAGTGTTATCTCTTGCTATATTTTAGTAGCTTATGTTTAGTCAAGTTCTTCCTTGTTCTCTGGCTGTTTTGAAAATCAAAAGTAAGTTATAGAAATACAAATATAACATAAGTTTAAGACACAGTCTCATGAAATATTTAAACATAAATAATTAAGACTCACCTCTATTTCTTTTCTTAGTCTCTCATGTGTCTTTTTCTCTTCTTCAATAAAATATGTTTTCTCAATGATTGAATCTTTTACTGTCATAATTTTATTCGTTAGCTTTGAAATATCTTCCTGGATATTTGTAAAATTTAAAATATACAAGTCAAAAACCCAATGGTCAAAATAAATTCAAAACTTTCAGGGCTTTCATAATTTATGAAAACTAGCCTAATCAAAATTTAACTTTGGAAAACAGGATTAAAACATTACTTCCATAGCCATACAACATAGCCACAAAGCAAACCTGGATTTGAAAACAAAATAAGACACAAAGGGAAGCAATAGCTGTGTTGCTGATTCCCTGAGAACAGTGCAAAGGGTACTTTTTCATTCTCTAGCAAGGAGTGGTAGGTATTTGAAGTCTGTGTCCTCTATGGCTTTCAAAGATTAGTGAGAGGAATACAAAGATGCCCATTGTACAATTATGAATTCAGCTGGTTTGCATAACAGCATTAATCACATGAATTTATTCCGTCTAGAATTATCAGAATAGAGGGTGAACATTTTTCATGAATTACACTTTCTGCAGTAAATGGATTAATTGTTCACTGTGATTTTGACCATATATATACATATATGTGATTACACACACACACACACACACACACACACACACACACACACAGAGCCACAGATAATCTATATCTCCTTTAAGCATCTGCACATTGGGAAATTGTTATTTAACTTATATATCTGATTGCTGTATGTACTTACTTAAGTTTTAAAAATCGTGAAAAGTTTCTGAATGTAGAACTATAGGTATTGGATTAATTTAATTATTACTATATGTACTACAAACAACAGAAGAGTTTGATAAGTAACACTTCAAACCTGTATTTGTGTTGCACATCTTCCTTGTGGATTCTGGAGATCTTCCCTAAGATCTTCTTTCATTGTCTTTAGGTTTTTGATGAGCTCTCGTTTTTCATAGAGTTCAGTCATAAATGAGCATTTGCTTTCTGTCTCTCCTAAACTATCTTTATAGGCTTTTATTTTTGCATAATATGCATTATATTTTATCATTTGTTCCTCAAATTGTTCTTGGGCTGTTTCTGTATCAAATTTCAGCTTTACACTTTCCGAATATAAGGACTCAATTTGAGCTTCCAAGAGTCCACAATGAAGTTTGGAATTCTCCATGGCAGCATCTTGCTGGTGCATTTGCTTCTCTGTTTCTTTAGCTTCTGCAGCAACAGCTGCTATTTGTTTTTCAAGATCATGAAGTTCAATCTGTAATATATTTCATAAATATCGTTAATTATTAATTCATTGCATTCAGCAGAGAGGAAAGTCATTATTTTAATTCATAATGCACATAAGAAGTCACAATATAAAAATACATTTATAAGATATAGGAAAAATGATTCATAATAGGAGACATGCAATATCATAATATGCACTTATTTTAGAATCACAGAAGGGTCCCAGAGTTGTATATTTCTTACTTGCTCATCTAATTCTCAAGTATTAAAGTTATATAGTTTACCATCTTATGCATAAAGGAGATAATTGGTCATTTTAAAAAATGTGTTCATAGGTACCAGAAGTATTCTTTCAAATAAGACAGTATGGTAAAATTTATATAGCCCAGAGTTAAGTAACCTAAAGACTAGGTTCCAGTACTTTTACTGCTTTTTACCAATCTCTATGACCACATGTGAGCTTAATTACTCCATCCCAAACTCACTTTCTTCACTTGCAAAATGAATATACAGGTATCTATTTTGCTTTTCTGAGGCATCAGTCATTGTTTACTCACACATCCTTGTGAAAACCTGGTTTTCACATCACCAGTTTTCTTTGGAGCTCCTCAGTTATTTCTTACTACTTCTTGGTTTCAACAACTCCTTCAAATATAGGATTTCCTCAGTGTTCAGTCATCACATTTCATCTTGTCATTCTATATGTACAGACTGAGTAATTACATAAATGGTCCCATCTTTTCTATTTTCTGCTAATGCTTCACAGACTATGTGTGGCTACTCAGTTCTATACCCATCTACCACGGGTCACTTCAAATTCATCATGTCCTCAAATCAGACTTTCCTTCCTCCCTTCCTAGTCTATTTTTATCTGTATCAGTTATCAATGCTGAAGCACAAAACCTCAGTGGCATACAATACAGTGTTATTTATCATGGACATGCCCGGGAGAAGCTAGTGTTGTTAGGTGATGCATATGGTTGAGAGCAGGGAGCTGATTTTGGTCAGTTTGCTCCTATGTGTGGGGGTTGCTGTACTTCTCTGTTAAGTAGCTTTTAGGGAAAACACACTTTTAAGTCCCCTTAAACATGGGATATGTATTCACTGAGTTACGTCTCTTGGTTTTTCTGAAAAGGGAAAACTAAATTGTCCCACGTGAAACTAAGCACACCTCTGCTGCTGGCTGGCTGCCTGTGTAAAAAGCAAAGGAGGGCATTTGTTTTCTTTTTAGCTTTCTTTTTATTTATTCTTTGTGTGTTTCTCATCATGCCTCCTGATCCCACCCATCTCTCCCCACCTCACCCCCAAATAAAACAAAATATAATTTAAAAGAAGAAAGGGGGAGCAAAAAGGAGAAAGGGAAAATCTCATCATGGAAGCTGCAGAGTGACACAGTGAATTATTCAGTAAACCTCTTTACCTACACATTTTTACATGCAGATGTTCATCACAAAGAATCATCGGTCTGGTTCAAGGCCCCTGGTCTCTGCTATACCATGGACGAGGGCCCTCAATGGGATTCTCCGTGGACATCCTGTTGATGCCCTGTGTCATGGAGATCTTGCAGCCCTGGGTCCACAGGACCGACCCCAGGCCCAGCCCCACCCCAGTGCTCCAGCAAATCACAAATAGGGTGGATGTTGGGGTGAGCCAACACATAACCCTGGTTCTGGGCCTGGGTAGTTGCAGGGTTGGTCAGCCTGCCAGCTCTCCCCTGTCCTCATCACCAGGGGGAGCTCTCCAGCACTGCCCTGGCTAGTTCATCCCTTGCATCAATGAGCAACGGGAGGGGAGGGGCCAGTTCTCCAGGTTTCACATCCTCAGGGGCAGTTCTCCCACACCTACACCTTCTGGGCCAGCTCTGCTGTGTTGTCCTGGTGAAGTGTAGAGGCCACTCTCCTGAGTGCTGCAGCTGATGAGGTGTAGGGACAGCTCTCCTGCTCCTTTAACCTCGGAGTTCTTCTGCCTCAGGTGTGTATGGGCAGGGGGGAGGGCAACCCAACAACCCCCCCCCCCCCCCCCGCCACAAGAGAGTTGAGTAACGAGGACAGCTCTCCCATGCTCACAACTTCGGAGCTGGCTCTCCCACACCACCAACAGGGTCAGGTCTACTGCACTGCAGAGGTGAGGGGCAGGGTCCACTTTCCTGAGTGCTGCAGCTAAGAAAGCAGACACCAATAAGTACAGCTAGAAGATGGAGGGCTGGGAACACCTACATGTTGGTGGTAGAAATGTAGTTAAGTCCAGTCACTACCAGAATCAGTGTGAGTGCTCTCAAAGTGTAAACCAGAACTGCCAGGTGATTCTGCTGTGACACTCGTGGATTTACACAGAAAAAAAGAGTCAACATTCAATAGGGGGAAAGGTAAAGGAGATGGAAGGAAGGCAAAGCATGGAGGAGTTGCCAACACCCTCAACAGTTATTATTATCACTATTGTACAAGTGATTAAAACTGAGTTCGGAGATGTTAAATAGGAAAGGAGACAAACTCTGGAATCCCGACTTTGAACCTAGGAGTGCTTGATCCTGGGCTGTGCAATTTTTATTTTGTCTGCTAGATCAATAAATATATGAGGCATGTCTTTTTATAAATTTAAGTAGATCTAAAATTTAATAAACAAATGGGAGTTGGTAAAAATGTTATATCTAGCAAAGCCTTTTCCAAATTGAGAGATAAATATCTCTCAAAACAAGCACAAATGAAGGGAAATCATGACCACCAGCCCATTACTCCAGAAGATATTTGAAGGGATACTATGTAAAGAAAAGGAAGACAGTCTTAATAATGAGGACACAGGGAAGAATAAATTTCAGAAGAGGGATGGATAACAAAGGAATCCATCAAATGCAATAGGAGGGAGGGATAGTACAGAACAGTTATCCAACCAACCAGAAAAATAACCAACAAAATTATGGCAATTAGTAAACATCTGTCTATAATAACCTTAAGTGTACATGACTCCAATTCACTAGTAAAAGGACATGAGTTATCTGATTTAAAAAACTAGATCTAACTTTCTGTTGTCTCCAGAAAAATACTTTACTGGTAAGGACACCTATAAACTGAGAGTCAAAAGACGGGAGATAATCTACCCAGCAAACAGAAACTGAACACAAGTTGACATACCTATTCTAGTATCCGATAAAGTAGATTTTGAGCCAAAATTATCCAGAAGAAATAAAGAAGACCACAACATACTCATATGTAAGGAAAATACATAAGGAAGATGAAATAATTGTAGGTATGCATACATGAAACACTGAGGCTGCTATAATGGGTCTAAAATGTCAGCTAATCCTGCTACAGCAGGAGTGAGTGATTCCAATCTCTCTATATATAGGTCATCCAAACTAAAAAGTAGCACAGTTAAAGTTAAATTACATCAAAAATCAAGCAGACTTAACAGGTATATAGAGAATAGTCCACCCTAGAGAAAATGAACACACATTCTTCTTAGCAGGCCATTGAACCTTCTCTGAAATAGCTCACATTCCCGGACACAAATTAAGTCTTACCAAATACAAAAGAATCAAAATAAGTTCTTGTATCTTATCAGACTACAGTGAAATAAAACTAAAAATCAATAGAACAATATATAAAGAGTACCGAAATATATGGAGATTAAACTGCACATGTTGGAATGATGAGTGAGTCAATGGAGAAACCAGAGAAGAAATGAAAAGTTCCTTGAATTGAATTGTGGTGGTTTGAATAATAACAGTCTCCCTAGCCTAGGGCATTTGCACACTTGGTACCCCTTTCAGAGGTTCTAGGGGTGGTGGTACAACCTTCCTAGAGGGCAGGCTTGGAAACTTAAAGTATCTTCCCACTTGCAGTTCACTCTCTGCTTCTAGTTACAGTTGAAGATGAGATTTCTCAGCTTCCTGTTCTACTTACCTGCTGCCATTCCTCATAGCCATTGTGGGCTCTCCCTTTAGAACTATAATCCAAAATAAACTCTTCCTTCTCTAAGTTGCCTCTGGACCTGATGTTTTATTACAGGAAAAGAAAAGTAACTAATGCGGAAGTGAAAATGAACACACAGCTTACTAGAGCCTTTGGGATACAGCTAAGGCAGTTCTAAGAGGAATGTTTATAATGAATGTTTACATGAAACAATTTAAAATAGCTGGAATAAATAACCCAATGATGTACTTCAATGTCCTTGAAAACCAAGAACAATCTAACTTAAAAGCAGCAGATGGCAGTAAAGAATAAAGATCATGGCATAAACTAGTCATTTTGTAAGTAGTTTAAAAGAAACTTACAAAATTGGCTCTTTGAAAAAATAAACAATATTAACAAATTCTTAGCCAAACTAACCAAAAGAAAATGCTCTGAGCTAGCAAGATGGCCCGGTAAGTAAAGGTGCTTGCTTCCAAGCCTGACAACTCGAGTTCGATCCTGAGAGAGTGAATGAGAAAATGAGCCCCCTAAGTTGTCCTCAGACCTCCACAGTGGCACACCAATGTAGGGACACACACTCGCATAAATAAATAAATAAATAAATGGGGGGAAATGAGAGATGACACAGGTTAACAAAATTAGAAATGAAAAAAAGATAAATTCCTACACATAGAAATAAAATACAGGTTATCATTAAGGAGTACTTTAAAACTCATATTCCAAGAAACTAGAAATTTTAGAAGAAATGGTTAAATTCCTTGATATAGATGACTTGCCAAAATTAAATAAAATACAGCTTAAACAGATCCATAATCACTACTGAGATTAAAGCAGCAATTAAAAAAAGACTTTCCAACAATGAAAACTCCAGGTCTAAATGCATTCAGTGTCAAATTCTACAAGCCTTTAAGAGCTATTGCTTAAGGCTCCTCCATAAAATAAAAAGGGGAAGAACATTACCAAACATCTTCAATAAAGCCAGCATCATCATGGTGTCAATAGCAGACTGGAGCTGAGAACAGAAGGAAGAAACCTGTAGACCAAGATCACTGATGAATATGGGTACAAAAACTCTCAATAAAGTTCTATCAAACTGGATTCAAGAATACATTAAGATCAT